AATGTGTAAATAGGTATTGTGTTATTTCTAAATTTTAAACTCATGACCATAACTCAATCATAATTAATAAGCTTATTGGGCTCATCCAAAACTGTAGGGTATTACTTAATTTTAAGTAACAAGTTTTAGACAACTACTTGATGATCCTTTCTGAATACCTCCAAATTTGCAGTTCAATGCGAACAGGATCTAAAGAATTAAATTTCGAAGCGTTTAACATGGTTAACTTGTTCTGTTAGCATTAAAGTACAACCGAAGAATGATCAAACATAGTTAAGAGTGATGAAAAAGTAAGGACACATTATAATATTGACGTAATAGACCTTAATGGTGAATTATGGATGTTATGCAACTTTGTATAAGCCCATACTGGATTGGATAACATGTTAGAGTGTTGATAAATCTCCATGATTCATATCGCGAGTAGAGAACAGTGCTCTAATTATTAGGTGTTTAAAAAAATTAAACTTGTAGAAACTCAGGCCAGAAGCTTATTTTGCCTTGCTGAACGTAAAGGAAGTATCTGCATATTTTCACAACCTTCGAATTTGCTTGTCTGATTTTTTGACAACCTGGTGAAATGATGAAAGCTGTTGAGCGATGAATAGGTGTAGTAGCTACATATTCAGCGCGATAATTCAACTTGCTCATGACAAAAATGATGAAGAGATTTGACTTGCCAAGATGTGACCTACATTCACCATTTTGACATTTCCTACTTGTTCAGTCTTGTTAAGACGAACCGAATATTTCCGATTGGTGAATTTGAAACTTTTCAGAAACATATTTTAGAAACTTCGTGAGCAAACGAAACAAGGAAAAGGTATAATATAGTTTTAATTAGAGAGATTCCCGGAAACATATTCCTATGATATAAACCCAATATCTTCGAGTATCGGACTTGATTGAGTTGGGTTGAGCTAGGTTCGCTTGGGTTGGCCCTAACTTAGCTTCAAATAAAATCTCCAAACCAGAATTTCTTAATCTTCTAGATGCCTATTGTCATCTTCCTAGTTCTTATTGTATGATGGCAGATCATATGATCAGATGACACGCATTTATGGATTTCATGGGCTTGTACAAAATAATACACACAAGGGAAATTATAAGAATGATTGTTAGAAATGATAAAGAGCAATTTGTTTGTACATACCAAGTGCATAACATTGTAAATATGTAAACATACCCATACATTCCGAAACAATACTAACAAGGTTGTTGTAAGGGTTGTATATTCTGGTAAAATTTTTAGACATGATGATATTTTGTTGAAAATATGAATACTTTTGCCAAACGTCACATTTCTACCTAACTTATAATAGTTGAGGCCTATGATAAAATTCTGGGAGCAACTTGATCAAGAAAATTTTGCAAAATTCTGGAAACTTTTTACAAACACTAAGTAGTTCACAATTGATTAATGTGAAGTGAAAATTATTGACAAATAACATAGAAGTTGAGAAAATATTAACACTTAATGAAAAAATGTGCTAAAAAGCATATGAAATATATTTGGTCAAAAAAGTGGGAAATTTTGTAATACTAATATTAAATGAAAATAAATTTTTACGACTGATTTAATAGTGCTATTTAACTTCTAATAGTTTCGTTCTTGAAAGTTTTCGTTCTTATTAAATTCGGTATTATTTGAATTTAAATATCACTCTTAAATAGATTATTTTTTTACCATAATAATAAAAATTCAAAGTTGCATTAAAAGAAGCAATTTTAACACTAATGTCACTCGAACAATAGAACCAGCATAAACAAAGCGCCATCGCAAGGCATGAAGAAAATATTTAATTTGAGTGTTAAGGACAACAAGAATACAAATTCCTCATTTGGAGCACGTATTACCTAATAAGTCAGACCTCACATGGCTCATTCTAGCCGATTTTTAGTTGTTGTAACTTATCTTTTCATTTTGGATTGATTTCCTAAATTTAACACAATATTTATTTAATTTATGCCAATTATAAGTTAATTATTTTTAATTTCTAAAATTGAGACTGAAATTCAAAATGGTATCATTTTTGCTTGTAGTTTTGAAGTGGTAAAGACGCTACAATTGTTACTCCAGAGTTATATATGTGTTGAACCTTAATTTAGCATGTCTCCAGTTCTACCAAGAAAACATAAATATGTTGTAGCACACCCAAAGAAATACCATGAAAAAAAATATAATTTCGAATTAAGATTAATGTTGGCAACTTAGCCAACATTTCTCCAACCAAGAAATACAATAAAACGAGACTTTAACCAGAAATTAGAGCAGTACAGATCCAATTTAGACTTTGCAAAATTCAGATGGATTACCAAGTTACAGAAATTATTAATAAACATGTTATGATTAAAAAATTAATTTTTTAGCACTTGAGCACAACCAAGATTTTGAGTAAGGAATAACACCAGCATTTATTGATGAAGAGTAATATGTCCGAAGTAATATTTATGAACTAAAGATAAAACATTAAGATGAGATTAACATTTGCAATACTTAGCGGCGATGATATCATGAGTTTTAGCGAAATTTTAAATTTTTGAAAGCTAAGTTTAGTCATACAAGTAGTTTATTCTTAAAATATACTCAGGCAAACTTATTTCTTAGCGATTTCGATGCCAAGATTATAACAACTAAAATTGTAACTACATGAGATGAACCAAAACTTGGAAATCGAAAGAAATTTATTGACAAAACTCAATAAATAATAAATAATTTATCATAATAAGCATTATATTAGCTAAACAATATTGACATACTTTAATAAATACAATTAATTTTCGATAAAGATTCACCTAATTTCAATTAATTTTTTTTGTAGCAAATCACACTAGATACATAAAAATTAAAAAACCCGTTTGTTTTTTTTAAACATAGAAAATTTCGTCAACCTTTGCATTTTTTTATAAAAAACCATTTATCGCAATTTTTCTGTACTTTGGATATGAAATACGTTTTTTTTTTGTTAGGAACTATGATTCGGACATCGGTCCTGCAAAAATACTCATTTTCATTTATCAAGAGGAAAAATGGAAATGATTAAAAAAAAGAGAAAATTAAATTAATAAAAAAAAATCTTTTTTTTGTAACAGAGCGAAAAAAGTAATAATAAATTACACACATCGGCTGTACGATATAATCATTTTTTTTAGCAATAATAATATAATTAATAATTAATAGTATATATGAATAGTAATAATAATCGTGTAATACGTCAGGAGAGTGACGGCCTCAGCCCTCATCGTGTTATTAAATTTATTTTTTTTCACATTCACTTAGCATTGCTATTCAGCATAAACACCCGTATCGATCACCTAAATCCGGACCTGCATTCATATAAAACCATTTGAATTTTTTTCTTTGTAACTTTCTTTGTTTTTTTTTATTGTTTTCTTTTAATTTAGATGTTTTTTTAATTTGTAATTAATTGTAGATAAGGATGGACGATATGTTGTTCTTCAAATATATTATTTTTTTAATGGATAAATTAAACGATACGGGTGTAATTGCTAGATTTAATGGTTTTTTTGTTCAACAATCACACTTAGTTTCCAAATAAACTCACTAATATGCGAGGCAGGTCATACCGAAGTAATCCCCAGTTTTGAGTTATTTTGGATACGTAAACCTAGAATATATTTAAAATTTTTAAATATATTTTCTACTACTATATATACGTACAATGCCGTTTTTGATCAGTTTTTTGCTTTCACCCCGATCAAAAATGCGTTTTTTTTTTTCAAAACATAACTATATTATTATTATTACTTAAAACACCGTATCGATTATTTATTATTATTAGTAATTAGTAGGAACCAATTTTCATTCTGCTGGCTTTTTTTATGTTTTTGCTTTTTTACGTTTTCTCTTTTTCTTAGTTTTTTTTTTATTAATCATATTTGTTGTTACCGAAAGTGTCCAACTTTCGGTAGTAATTTTTATTATTTCGCGATGGATATTTAGAAGAGAATGGAAAACGTTTGTAAAAAAGAAAGAACCAGGGGAGACAGTGACGGATGAAGCGTTGTCTTTTTTTCATATTTTTTTATAAACCAGCTTTATGATGATATACATATATATAATTCATTGTATATATATGATAAATACAGCATTTGCCTTATCAACTTTAATAATGTGTTTTTCAATAATAAAAGTATTTTTTATTTTAATGTTTTTTTAATTATTTTTAATAATTATTAAATAATGAATAAAAAAAGCGCCCGCGCCCTTCGCGAAGTCGTTTTCAATCATTTTTTTTAGTTTACTTTTATAGTAATAATTATAATAATAATAATATTTGAGGAACAAGGGGGCGGGCTTTATAGGAACTTGTTTTTACTGGGCCCGGACCTGTTATTTTTGCTTTATCGCCAGAAACGGACCCTCAGTGGAAACGATTCGCATGCAGTATCTACATTTCGTCGATTTTTTCTTTGTTTTTTTTATTAATTAGGAACATTGTAGTCGCAGTTATTTTCTTAATTTTTTCATTTTAATTAATAAGTCATCTAGTAAAACACGTTGATGTTAATTTCTATTTTTTCGTTTTTTTTTTAATTTCACTCTTTTTGTATTAGGATAAACCCTGAAAAGCTACCGATTTTTTTAATTTTTTAGCCTATAAGAGCTATATGTACACCTATCCTCATACAAATTAACGTGTCGGTGGTAGTTTTAGTAACTTTACGTTGCTGTATAGGAATCATCGCATTTTTTTGTTTAATATCTACTATAATTTGTTTAATAATGTTTTTTTACATACTCGACTATGTACGTGAAATAAACGAGAATTAACCGAGATTTTTTCCTTTTTGAGATGATTACGCTCAAAACAAGATCTTAGATCGAAAAAAAATCGATTTTGAGACACACAACTACTTATAGCAGGTTAATAATTAGTAGTAATTAATAATATAACGTTTAAAAATATATATATGTAGCTGTAAATATATATTTTTTTTAATTTATAGTTATTATACTCATTCTTTCTTTTTAATTTATTCATTGCTTATTTTTGTTGTTCTTTTCTTTCAATTTGTTAGGAAATTTTTACGATTAGGAACTCAATTACGTTTTTTTTTTGTTCATTCCTTTCCAAATACTCAAAATAAAAATTAAAAAAGAAAAAACGAAAATACCTAATTATAAACGTCATAATCTTTAATGTCCAGCGCTGGTAAGTGGTTGTTGTTGAGATAATCCATCACTTTGTGCCATAAACCTCCTCTTCGGTTCAGCAGGTTGACAGAAATTATTTGAATTCTGATCGGGAACCGTTTGCTGAGCGGTTCGAGCGGCGATCAACGTAATCTGATTGACAACATCCTCCATTTCGTGACTGAGAGGCGACTCGGACGGCGGCGGAAGCGTCGAAACCGAAACCGCGGTCGCCGTTTTTAAGAATTTATGATGATTCTCAAGGGTTTCGCAGTGTTTCTTAAACTCAACGATACTTTTGTAACGATCCGAACCGTCGCACAATTTGCACTCGAACGATGTTTGCACGATCCTAAATACACCGCGAGAATCTGAGATACCACCACCGCCACCATAACACTGACGTTGATGTGTTAATAGTGAGGATTCGGTTGTGTAAGCCACCCGACACTTCTTGCACACGAAACACACCTCAACATCGATTTCTTTTAACGGCAAATCGCTGTAACCCGATGTTCTCAATGACGGCGAATCCGAGATTCGTAGTGTTGTCACTCCTGGATCGGTGTTTCCGGTTGACATTTGATCGAGGATCAATGATGGTAGTGGTAGAAATGATGTTGTTGACCCGGTATCTAAAAGCAGTCCTCCGGCTCCCCCTAAAACAAACGGAAAGAAATAAATTAAAAAAAATCATATAACTTAAAAACTTGGTTTTATTAAGATTTTTTTGTGATTTGTTTTTGTTGTTTGGTGGTAACCACCACATCCATTATTATTGTTGGGGGGTAACATTTTAATTATGCCTCAGTTTGATTAAAAAATCCGTCCGGAGCGGTCTCGTAAAAAAAATAAATTGCCTATTTAATTGGGGTCGCCCAATTTCGTTTTTGGGGGTTGCGATCGATAGCGACGCCGTCGTCTACCGAGCTGGTCGGGTGGAGGAGCGACGAGGCGGCGAGGGTTTCTTAAAATTTACTTTTTCGCTTCGCGAGTTATAATAGCCGGGGGTTAGGGGGGACGACGTAGAACGCTGTGTGGGGGTGAAGAGGTGGAGGGTTTTCTCCCCCGAGTGAGATATGGATTTTGCTTCCGACGCCGCGCAGTTTTTTTTCCCTTCCTTTTCCCTTCCGTCGCTTTTCTCTTCTCCACGAGGCTGAATTATAAAATATCTCGACGGATACGTGAGCTGGCTCTACCACCCCCGAAAGCGTTTATTGAAAATTTAGGCGTTTCTTTTGTTTTCGAAAACCCTCCCTTTTTTGTTTCTTTTTTACTACCCCCCGTTTTTTAACTTCCTTCCTTCCTTTCTCATTCTTATTTTCCTTTGATACTTTTTTATAAACATTATTTGAATACTTAAAACATTTGATCTAGTTTAAATCGGAATTAGTAAACACGTCAATCGTTTAATTGCCGCAAGAAATCGATTTGTCAAAGGCGATAATTACAAGTTTAAAACGCACCGGACGCATTCCGCTTATGTAAATGACCCCGCAAAACGATTAGTATTCATTTATGTTAAATAATTTCGACGCTTAAACACCAGAAAAACGTGGTAATAAAGCGCGAGCAAAACAACTTTTTCAGGGTATAATTAAGAAAAAATAAATCATGATCTCCCCACAATAAAGTGAGATTTCAAATCTGGGGCGTTAATTCCGGGGTTTATCTCGTGACAGTGATAAGCCACTTGTTAATTGGCCCGTTGTAATTTCAACCCTTTCGTTGAGAGCAACAAGTGGTTAGGCTTTGAATGCTAATTTCTCAATTACCCCGCCTTCATTTCGGTGGCGGCGGCACGCCGATCCCCTTCGGACTAATTAAAATCCATTAAAACACCCTCTCTCTCAACCAGTCGAGTACCGAAATTTCCATGCTGGAAAATGACTCCGGGAAAACCCTCCTGGTAATCGACCAACGGTGTAAAACAAACCAGAGGGGTTGTTTGAGTAATTAATCTCCACCGTAATTAGCTTAAATTGTTTTAAATTTTTTTGCTTTTAAGTGTAATTGTCGATTTTTTCATGTTTTGTTTTTAAACGCTGCCGACTTCCTGTTGTACAAATTACGTCTTAATTGCAATCAGCAAAATCGCCCACAGTGGAAAAATTGGGCTCTCAATGACGTCAGCGTCATTGTAGTCATTGTCGTTGTCTCCTCCTCTGGTTGCTTTAATTGCGTTTTTTTAAGAGGTAATTATCGACGTCCGCAGTCGCGAAAACTCGGCGTTCTTTTGTTAAAATCGTCTCAGTCGTTATTACACCCAAGCCGCTTTTGTTCGAATCGCACAAACCGGAAAATAGCTTTAACAAGGGGGCATTTTCAACAAGAGGGAAAATCCTCGACATTGAAAAGAATTAAAACAAGAAAAATCTTTGGAGAAAATATTAATTTTGGACAATCAACATATTTTTAAAATACGTTTTATCTTGTGTTTCAGCGCCATCTTGTGTGCTTTATTATTACAAAAATTCATATCGTAATTGGTAAAGTATTCAAGAAAGAGCGGAGTTATGCGCAGAATTCCTAAATTAAATCATGATGAAACTTTCCTAAATCCAGGGAATTTTTTATGATGGTTAGAGACGGGGAATATTGTTTTGGATTTTCTTGCTTTAATAAAGTGTATCTCGGTTAAACTGCATATCCAACCAAACACTGTCAGTTACAAACGCCCGTAAATAAGAATAGTACGTGATTAAAGGAGTAACCACAGTTACATAAACCCAACAAAACAATTAGCGGATCTGCCACTCACTTATTCACAGAAAGCTTATTACAGGTTTATGACCTACACTTTGCTTTGTAAAAAAAAAGGATTTGTTCGCCTTTATTCTATCTTTTCTCTTATTGTATCTTTGGTAGTTTGAACGACTTGAGATATTCCTGCAATTATCATAACTGCTATCCAGCTGTAACCCCAGTAATAGGCAAAATGAACTCAGAAATGCATAATTTTTTTATTCCATTGCTAAATTTGATTTATAAGTACTCATAATGTTCAGTAGATCATCCTGCACAGGTTAAGCAAGCAGCACGTATTTGGTAGAATACTTTCCTTTTTATTACGTTTTCTACTAGATAGAAACTTTCCCTAGACCACAACTTAGCAAGGGTATTCCTCCGAACCTAAGCAATTTAGAGACAAACGACGATACTATGTGAAATTTAAATCCGAAAATATTTCAAAACATATAAAAGTATTATTTTAAAGTATAAAAACTTTCTCTAGACCACAACTTAGGAGAGTATTCCTCCGAACCTAAGCAGTTTGGAGAAAAACGACCATGCTACGTGATGATCTTTATGAGCTCTAAGAGTACCATCGTTGAAGTAAGAATAAAAGCAGTGAAATAAAAAACAACTTTAGAATGTGATCAAGAAGAAATAGTCAAATTAAGTTTCAATAGATAAGGTTCAGACCCCAGATACTGATATTATTTATCAGCAATTGGAATTATACAATGGATACCCTAATCAAAGCACTATATTCTGGATTCAGTTTTTATGACAAGTGTATCTATCTTCTGGACAAAAGTCAAATTAAGTTTCAATACATAAGGTTCAGAACCAGATACTGATATTATTTATCAGCAATTGGAATTATACAATGGATACCCTAATCAAACCACTATATTTTAGATTCAGTTTTTATGGCAAGTGTATCTATCTTCTGGACACTGGTGCCATATACTATGTGAAGTTCACCCAACAGTTAGATACTAAAATCGTATACGGAATCATCAACCGGATGCTGTTATTACGTGTTACTAGATACTAAAATCAAATACTAATTTTGGTTCTAGTCACTATGGAAACTTTATCTAATTTCTGAATACTGCAATAATTCATACTATTCTGAAATCATCAAGCAGATACTAAAATAAACCATAGAGGACTGGAATTATCAATCGAATATTGGACTTATCCACTAGATATTGAAATCATCCTTCAGATAGTGGTAAACCGCAAATTCCGTCATCTTTGAAATACACAGCAAGTGTACAACAACACAAAAACTTGCTTCTTCGTGAAATTCAAGATTTTCGTTAGTAGAATTACATTTTCTTAATCTTTCATTAAGAATATTTTATCGTAAAATGCTGTCTGAGGTGCTTCACCGCAAAATATGTATCCCATCTTCTATAAAAGTGGAAATGTGAGAGTCAGTCAAAAAGAATCCAACCAAATTAGCATCGGAACCTTACAGGGTAGAAAATATTCAATAAATATCTCGGAATCTGATCAACTTCTATATACATTATTAAAATTTACGATTTTCTGTAGCTCCATATCGTGAAGTTCTATCCTACGACATCGATAACAATCGCAATCAAAAAATCCAAGTTTAGGACTAAAAAGTATGATATGTCCATGAAGAATATCGCTAAAATTAATTACACCCTTATGTTAAGTGCAGGTCTTGCAATAAATTGCAATATAGTGTTGTTAAACGAACCTTCTATCTCAAAAACTGATTACATTGACACGTCATGTAAGTGTAGGTATAAATAATCAAACAAGATAATTGTTACAAGATAATACAAGAAAATTGAGATGGACACATTTATTTAATCAGACTTTACACCACACCGAGATATTACACTCTTGCTTAAAATAATTTTCCCTTGTAGTGTGGAGATTGTCAAAATACCATAAATTATTTTTCCAATTAAACAACTGCGTCTTATAAGGGAACATTACTAGTATTGTGATATCATATGACCATACAGCTTAACCTTCAGATGCTCTTAGAACAAAAGTATTATACCATAAGATCAGAAGAATTACAAGGCCACTGAGAGTGCTCGAACCTAGAAATCACATGACATTGGTATATGCTCCTACCAGAAATAACGTGTCAAATCAGAAGAAGGTTGTCAGCATATAATTGTAACACTTCGATTTGACAATCATTATCCTATCGACCATGTTAAGGCTGTGAAATGGCTACTCATGGATTTATCTAGAGTTGTAAAGAGCGTAAAATCAGGTGTTTTTCTTGTGGTGATTATGGTGATGAGTAAACAAGTGCAGCATTAGTTAGAAACATTGTACGCGTAGCGCTGTGTGTCTAGCTAATATGCAACTTGAAGTTTGTACTCATAGAAAGTTTAATTCATGCAATACGTGAAATGACGCGATCGCGTCATATAGCTACTATATCAAGATATACTTCTTGGTATAGTAAGGCGGTGTTACTTTACCTTATCGATTATCATCACATACTAGACAAAATTTGCGCCGAACAACAAAAAACGACTCACTTAATAAATACTGTTCGATGTAGATAATGCTGCCAATGTTACTTGCCAAATTGAATTAAAGGCTTTGCTGCATCCAACCCCTATGCTTACAACCCCTGTTATAGCTACATACAGAAAAAAGATACTGAGAGTAATCTATATTTTAGTGTAAACAATGAGTTGACTATATAGACTAAGTTTAAGAAATTCAACAAAGGATAGATCAGCAACACATACATAAGTTCTTTCTCAAAAGAAATTGTATTTACTTCCTCCCCTTTCCAAGCTATCACAGTGGGGGAGGAATTTATATGAAAAAATAAGTCCAAGAAGGGTATACAACAATTGGTGTTATTTAATCCAAGTAGTATTAATGTCAGAAATGTTTTCGATCGAGCTAATAACCAACA